TCACAGATAGTTTGCACAGCCTTCGAGCTGCTTAAACAGCCGCTTTGGACTGAGAAGCAAGAATAAAGACAACTTCTAATGCATTACTCCAGGATATTGCGAGGTTCCTAAAGCTTTCACCTGCCTCTGTTCCCTCCAACCTTCCCCCAGACAGTCTCACGCAACAGGGTTATAACAAGTGAGAAGGCAAACAAATGGGGAGTGATTGCAGTACCAGGAAGAATTTAATACATTGGCACGTCACAACCATATGGTGCTGTGAATACCTTTGGAAGCTTCCCATTCACTACTGAGCAAGAAATCTGCACAGGCCTTCTCCAAACCCCACCCGAGAGTCACTTTGCAGGGAAAAACCTCTTCCAATGATAGCACTAATGTCAGATTGGACAGATCTCTCCCATGGCTAATGGATCAGGGAGTCTCAGGCCTTCTGCACCCTTCTTAGGTCACCACAAAGAGACGGGGACAGTTTTTAAACATTATGCTGCAACTATTCTCACTTCTTTCCAGCTGCTCCAAACTTGCTGCTGTGCCAGCCCCTGCTGTCTGCCTGCAGGTTCCATGGCATCCAGCAAGCAGCATTTTCCACTGCAACTCTTGGCACGACAATGTGGCACAGAGAGCACCCAGGAGGAGGAAGGACAAAAGCTGCTTTACTCTAGGAGCCAAAATAGCGTGTGGCACAATTAAGTTAGCCAAAGTGCCACAGATAGCCAGCCCAAATTGCAGAGGATGCAGCCATGCTCAGATTCTCAATTCCAGGCATTGCTCATCACTTGCAAGGAAACTTGCTCAGGCAGGAAATACCTATGCATTTAATGCCTGGAAGAGACGGGGTTTCTCTGACAGGACAAAGGAAATATAGCAATAAGTATGTTTAGGGAAGGGTAGGATCTGTTTGCTTTAGGATACCAGTTTCCCATAGGAAAAGCAAGCTGATCATCTTCCTTATTCTTAGATTCGGTAACAAATTCATAAAAAGTTAACTCATCAATAGCTACCTTGAGGAATCATTGCATAGCTTGTTTGAAAGCTAACAAGACTGGTTTCACCTTTTGGAGACACACATAATAAACAAGTTACGTGCAAACTTCAAACCATATCCTTCCTAGAGGGAAAGTAAATAGAAAACGCAACAATGGATGGATCAAAAATCACTCAAGACTTCACAAACAAAAATGGTAATTGCTCTACTACTTGACTGCTGATCTGCAATGGCAGCAAGAAGTTTCTGTCATCAAAAAACCCCCTCCATCTTGGCAGTAAGTAACATCTGAAATGCAGGTTCTATCCACACAAATAGTAGCTGCTGACACTGCATATATCTGAGCGAATAATGACATGTGAGCACCTGCACCTATTTATGCCAGTTGCAGCAATAGAAAGAGAGGAGCAATGAGGAGTTCTTTTTTTTTTAACTTTATATAGAACTTCTTGGCTTCCCTCAGCTCCATCCTGTCTCTTTGCTGCAGCAAAGCAACAAGTCACAAAACCAAGGAGGAGTCCTGTGTATTCTAAGCATGTGCCTGCACCCAAAAGGAGAACATTTAGTGAAGGAAGGAAAAACGGAGACATGAAAGAAAAAGCTACTTATGCTGTCCTAGCTACATTCAGGCACAGTGAAGACACCCTAAAAGGCCTGGGAATAACACCATTAAAGCAGACCTCTACAAACCACCCAAATATATTGCTCTCCCAGTCCCTCAAGGACTTAGCACAGAAAGGTAACTAAAAAAACCCACTGAACCTGTTAGGAGAAATGGAAGGTTCCGAGTGAAGACTCTACTGGCAATCTTTGAAAGACGGCTGCTAAGTGTGTGCACTCTCATCCATAAGAGCCTGCATGAACTGCACACCAGCAAAAAAACTGTGAAGAAGCTGTGACAAGGAATCACCCTCTATTAAGCATTCACCCTTGTGGTGCAAGAGCGCAACAAGGAGGGATCAGCACGTACAGGGAAATGGGTTGAGGGAGGGTGGACCCTGGAGGGCCTGAATTCAGGATTTCAGATGCTTCTAGGTGAGCAAGAAGTGTGCAGGACCACAGGACTCCCTCCACGCCAGGGGCAGGAAGGATACTCTCAGTGCAGCTGGCAGAGCTGCTCCTGCCCACGGCACCAGGAGATTCCCAGGTTCTGGTTTGGCCACCGGGCGCATACCCCCTCCGCGCCATCCTTTCACACACCCCCAACAGCAGCGGTCTCTGCCCATATCTTCGCAGAGCACATGAAGTTATTAGAGGGAGATTATCCTCGCACAGCACTGCAACCCTTCTGTTATCTTTCTAGGAAGGAGCAAAGCCTTTTGATCCCCTACCAAAAACTAAAAAGCAAATTAAATGTTAATAAAACATTAATAGAGAGCTACTCCTCTGCATTTTATTTAGTTGTTTATAGAAACCAAATACATCTAATAGCCTAAGAAAATGAAAGGCAACAAGGAAGTCACTATGGCTTTGATGGAACAGCTACTCCAGCAGCATAATCCTGTGAATCCATTAAGATCTTTCACATGAAGAGCAAGAACAGCTGCCTCCCCCTCAAACATGAGCATATGCTTCTTCCCAAACCAAGGCCATGTGTGAGCTGAAAAGATTTTGCTAGCTCTCGTTTTATGAAAATTTCTCCACAGTGGAAAAATACACAGGGGAAAAAAAAACAAACCAAAAAATGGAGCCGAGGAAAGGCTCAAAAGCAGTACCAGAAAGTCTGACCAAACGCTAGAAGCAGAATCACAACAAATACATGGGAAGAAAGAGGTCTGGGGGCTGAGACTTTAGAAAGGCATTAAATGTAAAAGCAAAAAACCAATCTGCTACAATGTCTTGGGGAAAGCTGATGGTATTAAATGAACAACCCTAGAAGACAATGCACTTGCTGGCTGGAGCCCAGTGTGCCAGAGCTGCAGTTATCAGCTCGAGTCAAAAAAGAGCAGCAAAACTCAGGGTCAGAGATGGAACAGAGTTCACAGGACTTTTCAAAGGTTAGGACTAGACTTGAAATAGTGTGCAGAATGATAATATCCCAACAAAATTCATGGCACCGAAGATGTCAAGGCCTAAGGGACCTATCTGGTCTGGCCTAGGAGAAGGCCAGAAAATGTGGCTCCTTGCCTCCTCTCTTTGAACAACTCACAGTGGGTTAAACCACCTCTTCCAGGAAAGCAACACTTCCATGCATGCACCACATAGAACCATAAAAAGCAGGCACTATCTGCAGCCTCCAGCATTGCTACAGTGACTTATAAAAGTACCTTGGAAGACAATATCCAGCTTCAACATTTCTGCTCCTTAAATCTCTGCTAATTTGAAGCCAACTCAGAGCAACTCGGTAACCACATGCTAGACGATGTATTTAACATCCGGGGCTGTGAGAAATTCACTCCTCCCAGGCTGCCAGCAGCATGTGAAATAATATTATCTTGTAAATGGGCAGTAAGAATAACATTAATTTGTCAGTGTTGTGCTGAGAATTTTCCTTAGAAGCTCTGCAGGGCTTGGGAGGAAAGTTCCCATCGTCTCCTGCTTTGGAAGGAGGGGACATGCAGCAGGTCTGAACCTGGAACAGGCAAACAACTGGTGGGAGCCACAGCACTGGGAAGCAGAAAGTGCAGGACAGCTGCACAAGCCAGGCTCAACCTCAATTTGCTGCTTCTTGTTTCGTTTATTCAAGGTCATGTGGTTGTGGGAGGTTTCAGGGTCTGAGCTTCTGGCATCATCTCTGACTCCTACCAAGGAGATGATGACTGATGGCAGGGAATTTTGACCTTTTAACTCCATATCCCTTTTCTAAATTCCTGTGGTCACTACTGGTATCTCCTGTGTAGCAAATTCCTTCTCTCTCTCCCCCAAGAAGCCAAACAACATACTGTAGTACAGTTCTGAGCGGGGCATAAATCTCCAGGCCCTTGCATCTCTGGTAATCTTCCCAGTCCCATGGCGTGACTCCAAACTTTTGCCCCCTGCCGCTGGGGAGCCCCAGGTCACTGGACGAGCTCTTTTGCCATCCTTGGAATGGCAGCGAGAATTCCCTGAAGCATCCCATGGGGCCCAGGGCCACAGTTCCCAGAACTGGCGGCTGCTGACTCGGCTCAAGCTCTTCCTAGAACCGCT